TCGCCCGGCCAGTCGCGCCCCCGGGCCCGCCGTGCCGCTCGGGGCCCCGGTCCGCCCGCGACCCAGGGCGCCTCCCACCCCGTCTCTCCGGCGGACGCCGTGCCCCCTACCGGCTCCCCAAACCGCCGCCCGGTTTTCCCGCCGAGCCCTCGCCTGTCCCGGGCCGCGCCCCTTCCACGCTGGGCTTCAGCGCCGGGCTGTCGGCGTCGCACGCGGCGTCTGCACGGCCACGCTGACCGGCCTCGTCGGCCCCCTGGGGTGGCCGCCCTTCTGCCCACGCTGTGTCGCCTCTGGGTTCCAAGGCCTTTCTCCCGGCAGCCAGATTTTTGTTTCTCTTCTTAGAGGCCTTTATTCGAGTTCTGAAACCTTTTCGTTTGCTTCCTGGTTTTGTGCTTTTAATATACATATACACACTTATTTTTAACTATTTTGAAGAAGTTTAAAAATAAAATATAAAGAGCGGATTAGCAAACACCTATGACGGGTTGCCGGTTCCCTGTTTGCCACATGTGTTAAGCATTTCGTCCTTTTTTTTACTTTAAGAAAACTATTAAGGTGCAATTACTCAGACCCAGGGACCCAGTCCCACTGTCTTTTTTAGGCAACCCATTTGAGGTACAACTGACGAAGTTGTACAGATGTAAAGCATACAGCCTAATGTTTGATAGAGGTATACATTGTGAAATCACATTTCACCTAATTGACATGTCCATCACCTCGCAGAGGCACCATTTTCTGTGTCTTTTTCCTCTCTGTGGTGAGGACACTTCAGATCTCAACAAATTTTTAAGCACACAATACAATATTGCTGACCATAGTCACTGTGCTGTGTGTTAGATCTCCAACCCTTAACTCCCAGAAAGGAATGTTTGCTCTGACAGGCAACACCCCATTTTCTCTCAATTCCAAGTCTCCCCCACCCGGCAACCTCTGAAACCACTATTCCACGCTGCTTCTGTGATTTGGACCTTTTTAGATTCCACATATAGGTGAGATCATGTAGTGTTTACCTTTTTCTGTGTGGCTTATTTCACTTTGGATAATAATCCCCAGGTTCATTCATGTTGTTTCAAATGGCAGGATTTCCTTCTTTTTTATGACTGAGTAATGTATGCCACATCGTCTTTATCCATTCACCTGTCAATGAACACTTAGACTGTTTCTGTGTCTTAGGCATTGTGAATAAGCTGCAGTGCACATGGGGGTGTAATATCTCTTTGAGCTCCAGGTTTCATTTCCTTGGATAGAAACCCAGAAGTGGGATTGCTGGGTCATATGGCAGCTCTATTTTTAATTTTTTGAGGCCCCTCCATACTGTTATCCATAGTGGCTGCACCAGTTGACAGTCCCAGCAACTGTGCATGAGGGCTCTCTTTTGTCCACATCCTCACCAACACTTCTTTTCTCTTGTCTTTTTGATGACGGGCATTCTGACAGGTGTGGGGTGATACCTCACCACGTTTTTGACTTACATTGACCTGAGGATCAGTGACATTGAGCATCTTTTCATAAGTCTGTTGGTTATTTGTATGTCTTTTTTGAATAACTGTCTATCTAGGTCCTTTGCCCATTTTTAAATCAGGTTATTTGTTTTGTTTGTTGCTATTGAGTTGTGTGAGGTCCTTCTATATTTTGGATCTTAACCCCTTATCGGATGTATGGTTTGCAGATGTTTCTCCTGCTCCTTAGGTACCTTTTCACTCTATTGATTATTTGGCTGTCAGCATGTTTTCCTACACCTCTACACACTCAGTCCACAGCCATGCTATCTTGAACAAGTCAGATACCGTCTGATTTCGGAAGCTGAGCAGGGTTGGGCCTGGTTAGTACTTGGATGGGAGACCACCTCGGAAGACCAGGTGGTGTAGGTGTAAAAAACAAGGGATTGTAAGCAGACAAGGTCCTTGCAATCTGTGAGGTCAACCAAGGGTTGCCTCTCCTGAAAACAAAAACAAAAAATCTACATATATACCATACTGTTGAAACCTAACGTTTTTATGCAGCCTTACAGCTTTGTGCTCTGTCTGCAGACATTGATGTGGTTCCTTCCTTTCAACCACGTGGCCTTACCTGTTCCTTGATAATGGGTATTGAGATTGTTTCCATTTTATTCTTGCACACGGGCATGCGGAAACGTTCTGTGTGTCATCTTGTGTGATTAGCAAGTTTCTATAGGGCACACATCTGGAATTAGGGTTCCTGACTGGGAGTTTGCAGGTCTCAGGTCTACCAGAGTGACTGTACTGCTTTACGGTTTACGCTCTATTTCCTCGTTTTTTGCTTTTGATATTGTGTAGCATTTTATATTTCTCCTAATCTATGAGGGAGGGAAGTCTTGTTTTACTTTACATTTCTCAATTTCTTAGACATTGAAAATCTTTTCAGATGTTTATTGGACATTTTGATTTGTGTACCAGGTCACGGCCTGTGCTCACTTTTTTAATTGGTCTTTTTTTTCGGTATTTAAAAATATATTCTGTATATTTATCTTTTGTTATATATGTTTGCAAATGTGTCCTCTTGCACTTTGGAGCTTATCTTTTAATTTTGTGGTACCTTGTACAGAAGTTTTTTCGATGGAGTAATGTTAGACAAGTTTTCCTTTATGGACTGTGCTTTTTGCATATTATTTTCTTATAACAGCTATAAACATTTTTCAAACACATTTAGGTCCTTAAGGCCCCTGAAAGGTTTTGTGCGCCAGGGCAGATGGGGAACTGCTTAGACCTCCCTTTGGAAAATGAGCTGTGCCAGCACCGCGGAGTGAGCAGTGCGCTGCTGCTGCCATCTCAGGCCTGTCACTAGCGAGTGCGCTGCACGCTACCCCTTCGTCATCTCTCCTGTGCTCAGACCACAGCACGTCTCGTTGTCTGGTAGGCGTGCCTCTGCCTAACTCACTTGTTCTGGCGTTGCCTTGGTTAATCTTGAATCATTCTTCTTGTGGTATTTAGGGTCGTTTTGGTCAGATGTCTTGAATCGTCCTGTTGCAATTTTGCTCAGAATTAGTAGATTCATTCGGAGAGAATCGACATTTTTATGATATCCCATTTATGAACAGTGTCCGTTTCTTTATAGATCTGTTTAATAAAGTCCTTCAATAAAGTTTTATCATTTTGTCCATAAAGAACTTACATATTTTTGGTTAGACTTCTTAGGTGCCATGTGGTCGTATTTATCCGTCATAAATGTGTTTTTGGTTGCTGATTGCAGGTATGTAGGAGCGGAACTACTTAGTCTCTATTGTCCTCAGTTATGGCACTCTTAACCTCCTGTGCAGGGCTAGCCTGACCTCAGGAAAGGCAGCTTTTGCCTGATGACAGTGTGCTTGTTGGCCACCCCTGATGGTCCACACTGACCGCATGACTTATGGTGGGTGCTCTGGGCCATGTGGCATCAGCTCGACCTCTGGAGGGGCTGGACACAAGTCAGTCACGCATGCCATCAGCTATGTTGATGGCACCAAGCCAGTGAACTCTGGATGCCAAGGCTCGGGTGATCTTCCCTTGTTGGCACTACCCTGTGCACATTGTCACAGGTCAGTGCCAGGAGTGAGGAGCTGTCTGTGACTCTCAGGGAGAGAACGGCAGAAGCTGTGTGATGGTACTTGTCCTGGATTCTGCTTCTGCAATGCCTTGGCCAGTGACTTAATGTGTCTGCTGCTTGTAATACACAGTAACCATGTGTCTCAGCTTTCCATTCAAGGTATAGATGCCAGGTCATGTTTTCTGATCAAGGGTGTGTTTGTGGGGGTGGGGGTGTAAAATTCCTGAAAGCCTATTAGTTCTGAGTCCTTGCAACGAATGACTGACTTTTAGGCTGATCTTGATGTCCTCTACTCTTGAGACTGGTGTTAGAAGTGAGGGCAAGTCTTGGGGACCTGACACTCTACGCCACCTCACCTGCCTTTTTCAGCTCAGGAACTTTTACTCATGAAACCAAGTATTTCCCACTCTCCTTGGCAGGCCAGAGCAGAGACTCCCAGTGCCACTCCCACTGCCATCCCCACGGTCTCCTCTGCCCTGGGGCAAGATCAGCTCCTGGTGAAGCCCCTCCTGGGCCTTGACCACCAGGCCCCATGCACAGAGTCGCCTTGGGCGGCCTGGGCTCCCTTCCTCAGCTTCCCTCAGTGCTGCCTCACACTGTCTGGCACCTGCCAGGCTGAGTCCTGCTGTGCAGTCACCTTCCCCTAGAGGTGGGCCCTGCTGTTGTGTCCCCACACCTGATGAGTTGGGCGTGTCAGCGACATCATCAGCCAAGCATGAAAACCCCCCTTTCCCCATTGACTGAGAGCCCTGCATGATGCAGAAAATCCTTTCCTCCAAGACCAGGAGGGACACGTGTCCTCTTTTGCCTGGAACTGGCTCACCTGGGCCTTTCTCAGGCTTTCCTGGTCGAACAACTGCACTGATTTGTAGATCCTTACGTCCAAGTATTGTGTTTCCTTTACTCACAGACTTTCCAAGTCATTGCTTTTTTATTGGAGGAGGTCAGATTATAGTTACAGAGAGAAATAAATTTCAGGTGGACTAAAGTGTTTTCCAAATAGAAAATTTGAAGAGAACTGTCAAGTTCTTGCCAGCTGTCAGGAGAAATACAGTTAAGGGAAAGATTTAAATACATAAAATGTAAAGACTTCAAAATAAAATTAGAAATTCCAAAGCGTGAATGCTGTTGACGAGCCAGACTCGAGAGGTGATGGCTGAGGAAGCTGTTACAAGGGCGAGGGTCCTGAAAGGGAATCTTGGCCTCTGACGCTACTTCCCACGGCAGACGTGCATGCGCCCCAGCGGGTCCTGGGCTGCCTCCTGCTCCTTGGAAAGATGACAAAAATGCCTGACCTGGGGGCGGGGGGTGCTCCCCGCCAAGCTCCATGGACACTGAGCCTGATGTTCACCTATGGGCCAGTGGCAGCCAATAGCAAAAAAAGGCAGTGACATTCTGGACACGTAACGCTACAATTTAATCGAACCCTTATTCTCATCCTGATGGGAACATGGCTTTCTTTCTTTCTCTGTCACTTTCACGAGTAAGAACTGTGCCCTGAGAGGTGGTGGGCTTTGGGCGGCAGCCACCACGTCACGCTATCTGTGGACTCAGTTGGTGAGGGTTGGTGGCATCCCTTGGTGTGAATTTATGAGAACACATCAGTGACCAGCTCCTCACCAGTGTCTGCACAGAGGGGAAAACATGCTTTTATCTGCATCACAGTGTACTGCTGTGACTTGAGGGTCAGCACCTCAGTGCTTAATTTTTCCTGAGAAGCTGATATGTTCGAGAAAAAAAACAAATTACTAATAAGTCAGATTTATCACAGTATATGACAATGGATAACAGACTCTCTTGGAACTGGGAATAAAAAAAATGAAACAAAACAAAACCTTTAGAAGTTAGGAATAGAAATATCTGAGAAAAAAAAGCTATTTGAATATGAGAAGTTTGTTTTAAAAATATGCATCAGAGGTCTTTTCAGTAATTTTTTGAAACGCCACCTGGTGCAGCAGCTAGCTGAAGTCTGGGCCTGGGTGTGGTGCTCTTCTCCGCTCCCCCACCCCAGACAGGGCCCAGAGGCCCAGACAACCCAGGACTTATTTCTGGGGTACAGGGTGCATAGGCTGTGAGGAAAAGACCCATTTTTTGAGTTGAATTTTTGCTAAGAAGTCAGGCACTGCTTCTGATCTTGAGGGGAACTAATGCACTTCTCACGAATCTTCTGCCTTTTTTTTTTCATACAAAACTGGTGTTTCCACAATATTCGGGGCCTCCCGCCGAATTACATGACGCTACTTGATGACAATCTTTTTAGTAGCATTTTGTCCACACAGCACTTCAGTGTTTTAACAGAATACTGAAAACAGCCCAGCATTCTACTTTTATGTGCAATTACTAGGAAAGGCACGGGATGTTCTAAGAAAAACCTTTGTTTGGAACGTAAGGAAGTTTTATTGTGACAGTAATCCGTATGCCTTAACTTCCTTCCATTTCTCACTTCATATAATGAACTGTACGACGTTAAAGAATGCAGGACGGCTGTCTTCACCCAAATTCACAGCAGTTGTGTGAGGACTCTCCAGTAGGACGTTTTCCGCTGGAATAACGGGCCCAGACCTGTGCGTGCCCGGCGGCAGCCGAGGTCACAGCTTCCCGTGCACCTTCTGGTGCTGGATGAGGTGCCCGTGCTGGTTGAAGGCGCGGCCGCACTCGGCGCATTCGTAGGGCCGCTCGCCCGTGTGGATGCGCTGGTGCTGGATGAGCACCGAGTACTGGCTGAAGGCCTTCCCGCAGCGGCCGCACTCGTAGGGCCGCTCGCCCGTGTGCGTCCGCAGGTGCACGATCAGGGTGGCCTTCAGGCTGAAGGCCTTGCCGCACTGCGCGCACCGGAAGGGCCGCTCGCCCGTGTGGATCCGCTCGTGCTGCACCAGGGAGCGGCGGGCGCTGAAAGCGTGGCCGCACTCGCCGCACACGAAGGGCTTCTCGCCCGTGTGCACGCGCTGGTGCTGGATGAGGTGCGAGTGCTGCACGAAGGCCTTGCCGCACGCGTAGCAGCCGTAGGGCTTCTCCTCGCTGTGGATGCGCTCGTGGTTCATGAGCGTGGAGCGGTGGCTGAAGGCCTTGCCGCACACGCCGCACTCGTAGGGCTTCTCGCCCGTGTGCACGTTGTGGTGCTGGATGAGCACCGAGCGGTCGCTGAAGGTGCGGCCGCACTGGCTGCAGGCGTACGGCTTCTCGCCCGTGTGCACGCGCTGGTGCTGCAGCAGCGTCCTCTTCACGCTGAAGGCGCGCCCGCACTGCGCGCACGCGTGCGGCTTCTCGCCGGTGTGCACGCGCTGGTGGCTGCGCAGCACCGTGCTGTGGTTGAAGGCCTTGCCGCACAGGGCGCACACGTAGGGCCGCTCGCCCGTGTGGATGCGCTGGTGCTGGATGAGGTGCGACAGCTGCGTGAAGGCCTTGCGGCACTCCGGGCACGCGTGCGGCTTCTCGCCCGTGTGGATCTTGTGGTGCTGGGCCAGGTCGGAGCTCACGCGGAAGGCCTTGCCGCAGTCGGCGCACGCGTACGGCTTCTCGCCCGTGTGGATGCGCCGGTGCTTGCTGAGCACTGAGCTCTGGCTGAAGGCCTTGCCGCACTCACCGCACACGTACGGCTTCTCGCCCGTGTGCGTCCGCTGGTGCTGCAGCAGATGCGAGCTGCGGCCAAAGGCCTTCCCGCACTCGACGCACTTAAATGGCCTGTCCCCGCTGGGGACGGCCGCATGCCCCGTCACAGGGCCCTTGGGTTGCAGGTCCTGACCCCCAGGGATGGCAACAGGGCCGGCCTGCGGGTCACAGCTCCCGGGGGGTGCGGCCCCCAGGATCACCGACAGGTCCTCAGACATGAACGGCTTCACACTCAAATCTCTATCTCGGTTTTCTCCCTGGTCCTCATATTCTGAAACAACAAATCCAGAGTGAAAACAACGCAAATGTCGACCCGCTCCAGACCACAGGGCGAGCAGCCCCGAAGGTGGCTGGGCTGGTGGGGTGGCCAGCAGGGCTGGTGCACATGGCCACGTGAGCCGGAGGGGCACAAAAACCGGCAGCATCACACGAGACCTGTGTCCCATGCAAGGTCACACATGACAAATGGCAGCAGGGACGATGCAAGTTCACCTGAGCCCTGCCCTCGCTGGAGTCCTGTGCATGGGCTTCCGGAGGCCATCCGAAGCAGGAATAAAGGCAGGGCTGACGGTTGCGGGGCGCCCTGTCCCCCAGACAGCAACACACAGCAGCGAAGCCTGGTGCGGGGCTGTGACCCATTTGTGCAGAATGCCCTTGGGGCAAGACAGGACACGTGGGCAGCGGTGGGGGACACAGGAGGCCATGGTGTATGTTTCTACGATCAGGTTGGGGGCTCTGGGCTGACGCTGAGTGTGGGAGTGCAGTGGGTGCTGAGGATGAGTTTAAATCTCAGACACCAGGCCACTGAGATGACAAGAAGCCACTCGCAGACCAAGACTCCCTGAAGGAACAAGCACGTTCTAAGGGCGGGCTGTGCTCGGACCCACAGCGGAGCAGCAGGAAGCAGGAGACCAACTCCGCAGGATGGCGAGATGTGGCGAGGCCTGGCCGCCAGGCGCCATCACTTCTCCCGGGCACCCACTCGGTCCTGCACCTTGGGTGCCAGCCCCACCCGCCACGCTGCCACCAGCTCATCTTCGCAGAAGCCTCTGCTGGCAAGCGGAAGGTACAAAGGACTGAGTGTTCACTGTCTCGTCAAACAAGGACACAAAGGGCTCTGTGACAGATGCTGGGCCAGAAGCCCTCAGGAGGCTCAGCTTTACAAACCCAGAGAGTCCGTGCTTGGGTGGTACTGGGCACGCATGTGCGGACATCTCCTCCTTCCCTCTCCCCTCCAGCGGCAGCGGCATCACTTAGGACTGGTTTGTTTGGGAAAAACCCTGGCAGCCCTGGGAGCCCGCATTCCGCCGTTCACGTGCAGAGACCCACAGGATGTCCCAGCATGCAAGCCCCTCCCTGCCTGAGCCTGGTGGAAAGTGTCTCTCCGGGGCTGTTAAGAAGCACACTGAGTGGCAATCAGTGGCATTTCCCTCTGCTTTGTCCGTAAGAAGGGTATCTTCAAGTACCACCTGCCCACCTTTAAAAAGATTTGTGTATGTGGTACCACCATTATTGAGACATAAGCTCAACCTTTTAATTGGTTAAGAACTTGGTTTGGTAAGACGGAAACTATGTAACGGGCCCCTTTCAAGGACCCTTGAAGAATAACCGACTCAGAAGCCAAGCATTCCCCCCACAAAGCCAGGGGACCTTCTGAGAGGGACTTGACATGTGCTTGATTTGACCTGCGGTGTCTCTGGGAATAGCTACCTTGGAAGGAGGTAGCCAGCAGCAAAGCCTCAGCACAGGGTCATCCAGGAAGAGGCAAGGGTGAGGCAGAGGGCTCCCCAGGCCAAAGCGGCTCCCAACCCCACCCTGAGCTACAGCTGCCCTCCTGGCCTCCCTGCCCCACAGCTCTCCAGGGCCCAGGTAGCTTTCCACCCGCTACTGGGTCTCCGTCTGGACGGCCCACCAGCACGCTTAGGTCCTGAGCCCAACAGAACTTGCTCTTCTCTCCTCCTGCGGCTGGTGGCGTGGGGTCTGCATCTCTCCTGAACTCTTCCCTGCTCTACCTGCCCCAGCGTCCAAAGCCCTTGTTCCCGAGGCCAAACCACCACGTGACAGCTTGCTGTTGCCCACTGCTCACTCTCCTCTCCCTAGCACCACCTGCTCATCAGAGGCACCAGAGGGCACTGCTGTGCACAAACCTCTCATCTCCAACCTCCACGCTCTCGGTCAACCTCACGATCTCTCCGGCACCTAATCTGAAGGGCACTTGTCCAAGACTGTCATCAGGTAAGACCACAGCCAGCACCAAGGAGGCCAGGTCCTGTTTGGTGGTGGCTCCGTGTTTTCCTGCCCACTGTGGCTGCAGCCGGCAAACGGTTTAAAGTTGTGTGCAGGACTGCTACAACATAATGCTGTGTCTGTTTTTAGTCACTGGAAAACTGAATTCCTCTGAAGATACCTGATTTTGCAGGGCAGTTCAGAGGTGGGCTATCTGCCACACCCATTGCCCCGTCCACACGGTCCCCGGGAACAAGGCGGAGAGCGCTATGCCTGCTCGGCCAGAGGCAGTGCTGCGTCAGCTCCATGCACCCTGAGGGGGTCGCATCCTGCAAGACAGGCTGACCGAAGTCCTCCTGAGACACAGAGGTCACCCTCCGCCCCTGGACCGCTCTGCCCATCGTGACTGCAGACAGTGCCGTCAGGGTGGTGCACCTGCTGTCGTCTTCCCTGCTGTGATTTTCTCCAGGATGGTCTTGCACATCTTTTGTTAGATTACTGCGTCCTTCATAGCTCTGATGCCGTTGTAAATGTTATCTTTTTAAAAATCACCTTAAAAAACATTTTTTTCCTTTTCTCTTTTTTGTATCTACATGAGACAGTGGGTGTTAAGTTACCGTGGTCATCTTTTTACACTGTATGACAGTCAAGTCGCTATGTTGTACACGTTAAATTTGTACGGTGCTGTATGTATGTTAGTTATATCTCAGTAAAATAGGAGGGGAGATCACACTTCTGTTGCTGACGAATAGAAATAAAAGTTACTTTGTATCCAGCCAAGCTGGCGAATTTTAATCAGTCTTCTTCAAGCAGACAATCATATGAACTGCACACGACACTTTCTTTTTTTACCAATTCTTATAGCTTTAGTTTAGTTTCTGTTTATCTTGCTTTATGTAGTGTATGGAACACCCCAGGACAATGCCCTGTTCTTCATCTCACGCAGTATGCTTTCGGCCCTCGCCATCAGTGTCAGGATAACTTCCCCTCATACCTAGGATGCTGTGTTCTTCTGTAAATCAACCAGAGAACTCTCCAAATCTGAACGGCCCCCATGGACAGGGACCTGGCAGAGGCAGAATCGCCACAGGGTGCTCTCACCACTCACCTCTCCACTCGCTTCCTGCACGGGGCCTCTGTCCAGCTCAGCCGTGCCTGACCACACTGGCTCCTTTGCTAGGAGAGGCCCAAGTGGAAGCTACTCCCACTGTCCCCGCCAGCACCCACAGCCACTGAGACCTGCTAGCCCCTAGTGGAGGAAGGCCAGCTGCTCTCACTCACCTGAACGGCCACCACCCAGGCCTCTGCTCTCCTCAGCTCCCTGCCCATCCAGCACCCACGGCTCTTCTCCTCGCTCCAGCTGGGAGATCACGTTGGGCTTGGTCCCTGGAAGTCCTGCTCAGGGGGAGAGAAGCACTTTCATCTAGAGCGCCCCCACCCCACCTGAGCAGCCCACGGGCAAGACACAGGACCAACCCTGTGTCTTGGAGCTGAGCACCTGGAGACCCCACGGCCCCGCCCCTGACTGAGCCCCCAGACACAGACTGGCTGCTGTGGGGCCGCACCCAGCGAAACCACGTTCCCATAGGTCTCCATCATCACGTGTCGGTAGAGGCCCCGCTGGGCAGGGCACAGGTGGTCCCACTCCTCCTGGGAGAGGAGCACAGCCACGTCCTCGAAGGTCACCTTGGCCTGGAACGACAGGGGTAGCTGCAGGTCAGATGGCGTCTCCACATCCGAGACTGAGTGGGTGCAAGGGACATGGGGTGGGAACGTGCCCTGGGATGGGGGCAGAGCCCCGTGACACACAGGGGGCAAAGGGAGAGCTGAATGGGGGGACAGGAAGGGGCTACAGAGTTCAGGGAAGGCACTGACACTCAAGTAGGCTGCTACCGGGGGCCTGGGAGGACCAAGAGGAAATGCAGCTACACAGGCCTCAGGGGCAGCTCACCTGGGGTCCCGCCGGTGGCGGCAGGAGCCTGGCTGCTGCCATTGTCCGGTTCCCTGGGGTCTCTGAGGAAGCTGGAAATCGGAGAAGCCTGTGGGGCTGAGGAAGTGGAGGGCACACATGAGGACCCAGCCCCGCCCTCGTGGACTCCGACCCCAGAGTTCGGGAGCCACGTAAACATGCGGTTCTTGAGCTCTTTGTCTGTGGGCAAAGACGTCACATCTGAGAGGCCTGGGGATGCCTGTGCACCCTCAGGTTTCCGGGCCATCTGCCCTGCTCACTGGGCCTGGCCACGGTCTGTGCACAGGGCCCATGAGAGAGCATTCACACAGGTGCCAGGCTGCCCTAGAGACTACCAGCAATGCAGAGGGCTAGGGATGGGCAGTTCTGCTTGAGGCCCACACTCCTGTGGTGACCCTACCCCAGGCCCTGCACACCTGGCTGACTATGCCTCTCCCATGGGCACACTGACACCAGCTGGTTGAGCCTCAGTGGCCCTGGGGCTCCCATGCATGGGGCTGTCGGCACTACGCATTGGGGGCTGGGCTCTAGGGACACATCAGGACAAGTTAAGCTGAGGTGTCTGTGACACCAAATTGCTGGGTAAAAGGGGGCACCAGGAGCTGTCCCGATGAGGGGATGGGGTTCACATGTGGGATGCCAAGTGGGACCCTACCATGGGACACAGAAGCCCAGCAGGCAGACAGGTCATTTAGGGAAAACAGTCCAAAACGACTATCAACTGTGTCGTGCGCAGTGGGCCACCTAGAGGGAGGGCGGGCGGCAGGAAGCCGGGGAGCACCATAACCTGTTCTCGCTGTAAAAGGGCACATGTGTGCACCCATTCGTTCACCTAGACGCACACTGAGCTCACTGCGGCCGCCCAGGGGCAGGACGGGAGTGGGGAGGAGAGGTTGGCCCTCGCCGCCTCTTCCCTCCGTTCGCCGGCAACGCCCAAATGTGCACGTGTGTTTGCGCGATGCAGCCCTCACTGGAACCGAACGGGGTCTTCCCACGGGGCGAACAGAACCGTCTTAGAATTCGTGTGGACAGCGGTGCTGGAGGACAGGCAAGGCCAGAGCTTGACAGAATGGGGGTGGTCCCACCTCACCAGGTCTCAGAACCAATGGCGGCGAAGCCGTTGTCACCACGTGCTCCACCTGCTGCCCCACCTGCCACTTTCCCGAGTCTCCCAGACCTGCCATCTCCCATGGTCAGTCATTCTCCCTACAGCCTTGTCCAGCTATCTTCCCACAAGGTCTCTGTCCCACCTCCCACCATGAAGTGGCCCTGGAGGGGTTTCCTATGACCTCCGTGTGGCCAAGCCCTTCTCTACAGCTGGCAAGGGGGTTAAGTCAGCCAAAAATCAAGTTCCTCTCAAATTCGGACCTCAGTAGTCTCTGTCAATCCTTGTCTGCATGAGAACTTGACCTTCAGGAATGATCCAGCTCTGGCTCCCTGGGTGCCTGGCACCGGTGGATGGTCACCCACACTGTGGCCAGTCTGAACTTGGGCTGGGACCAAAAAGGGGCCTCATAGTGGGTGCTGGCGGCCGGCCCTGCTGACCCAGGAGGCGCTGGCTCTTGTGGCCATGAGGCCTTGGCTGTCTCTGCCCCTGTCTGTGCACTGGAGCTGCTACCCGCCTCAGGTCCCACACGGACCGGGCGCTGGGTGCAGTCGTCCCGCAGCCTGGATGCTCAAGGGCCCTTGAGCTGGCAAAACCCTTCCCTGTAATGCAGCATCTCCTACAGCATCTCAGACACAGGTAACGTCTAACACTGAGCTCCCATTTCTGCGCCCAGCTGAGTCTGCACACCTGTACAGAGACCTGACACCGAGGCCCTTTCTTCCGCCTAATCCACTCTCCAAATGCACCTAGAGAACCTGGTCTCCTGGCAGCCGGGTCCTGCGCCCACCTACACAGGGACACAGAGACCGTCCTCGGCTCCAACCCCTCCCTGGGCCTCCCTCTGCTGGACGCTCCTGCCCCGTGTGGATGCTCAGCCTCACTGCCCTCTCACTGAGGCCCTTCCTGACCCAGCAGAGCAGCCAGTGGCCCAAGGATCACGAATGGCCTTAAAAGAGCAATGAGGCCATACTTTACATCCTGTAGAACAGCGGCAAGTACCAGGTGGACACCGACCGCTGGCAGGGATGGGGAAGCCGACTTTCTCATACCCCACTCTCTCAGGAAGCCACCGGGCAAGTCAGATGCATCCCTGGACAGTGGGTGCCCTCCCGGAAGGCTCAGGCTCAAAGATGTTGAGCCACCAATGTCGCCACTGTCCTTCCACACACAGGTCACGCACCCACCGAGAGAAAGATTCAGGCTGTGCCATGCAGCAAGACAAGTAAGCAAAAGCACAGATGCAGGGAGCGCATCAAAGACTCTCATTTCCTAAACAATGACGCCAGGGCCACCAAAGGCATTCGCTTTGTGTCCACTTGTAAAACAGGGAGAAGACACGTGTCCTCCAAAGGCCTCAGGAGGACGGCATGATTAGTGAGACAACATTCAGAACAGCCTGGTGCAGGCAGATGCTGCTGGACTAGGTGGTTTTGTCTCATTCGATTAGATTAACCCCCAAACCAGGTTGTCGACACAAGTGAGGCATGGAGGTAGAGGGCAAAGACGGAGCAGGGAAAG